TGCAGTTCTGGCGCCCTTGCGCAGTCTGCCACCGAGGCCGTGCCATTGGCTAAATTGCGCTCGATTTTGCAGCCAATTTACAACATTTCGACCAATGGCACATCACCGTTCCCGCACACTATTTATCGTAAAGTGCGAATTGAATGGAGCTCTTTATTAAGTACGCTGCATACGGAGGGCGGTGGAACGCACCTACTGGGGTGCAGGTTTGAAGCGAACGGTTTCAGACGAGCTTGCGTCGAGAGGCAACATAATATGTTACTCTTCCTATGTTATAGGAAGAGTGTCGGACCAATATTTGTCAGGCTGCAGTGCAGGCACATGGTTGGAGGAGATTGTGTGGCTGGCTGGACGACTATGACGCGTTCGTTTTCGGATATTGTAGCTCGATGAAGGTCATCGCGTCATTGTTGCCCATAGTCGGTGCTGACATATTTACATTCAAGAAATTGACTGTGAACACTGAAGCACAAGCATATCTACGAACAAACCGCACGGTTTCTTTATGGAAATCTCGAACGAGCAACTCGTCCCTCGTCAACACATCCGTTAACATCGAGTCCACGTCGAAGACTATATAACGTATTTGGGTTACTAGTACACGTAAATAATGACAACGTGTCACATCGTATACAGGTTGTCATGCAGTCTGAATACGGCGTTTTTTCTTGGAGCCCTACCATGCAGCATAGGGTCAATAACTCATCCTAGCGGAATGGTTGATACCGAAGTGTTGCGCGTGAGGGCTGACAGCAGCGCATTGAGCTGCTTGACGCGCTGCATGTCGTTCCAACGCACGTCCTCGCGACGCGCGTGTACTTCGGCCGCGTCTTTGGACGCCATACCAGACTGTGTTTGCTTCTCCAGTATAAAGTAGTCGCCTTCGCCGTCGTAGTAGGAGTCGAGTTCGAGCTGGTCCGGGTAACGCATGACGGCGAGTTTGATCTCGACGCAGAGAGTCATTTCAATCGTCATCGCAGTGTCGTTGCCGGTGCGGAGAAAGCTGCAAACGTCAGCGCAATTGTCGCAGTGCGCTGCGTCGAGTTCAATGTTCGTGATTGCATAGTCGTTGAAAGCAGGGAGCGGGGCAAGAGCATCGCCGCTAACCAAAGCGTCCAGGCACTCGGTGGCCAAGTACTTGAGCAACGCATGAAAGCGCGCACCCGATGCCTGAGATTGTAGCGTCTCGACTAGCGGGTACAGCTCGTCGCGGGCGGCGTCGAGAGTTGCTGGTAGCGCCGAGCGCCATTCGGCCGCACAGTCCAGCGCCGCTTCGGGCGACACGAACACAAGGGCCCGAAGAAGATCGGCGACTGAGCTTGTGAGGCTACTGTCGGCGCTGTTGCGGTGTGGGTATTTGAGCGTTCGGGCGGATTCGAGCAGAAAGCTTGTCACAAGAGCACCCGTTGCCGTCGATAGAGGCGCGCGCTTGACGAACATCAGAATGGCCGAGACGTTTTCCGTGAGGTTCCGGGAGGAGGCTCGGCACGCCGTTAAGAGCTTTGCATCGAAACAACCTACGACCTCCATGTACTGCAGCAAGGTCGCAATATCATCCGCGTACAAATAACCGCCCTTCGACTGCGCCGTCAATGCCATTGTGATGGCGGCAGTGTACGGCGCCTGATGTAGCGATGGCTGGAGCCGAGTGACCGCCAGCAAGGCCCTTGGAAGATACTTCAATCGGTGCCATGTCGACGGAGCCGCCAAGAGCGCTGCAGGCGAGCCGACGCGGCGCGAATACACAAAGCTGTCGACGACCAGGAGCAGCGGAGGTGTTAGCCACTGGCCGAGGTAGTTGTCGCCCGGACGCGTCGGCAGCACATCGTCAAAGTACCAATCCAACAAAATGCAGTGCTCGGTCGGGGTCCAACCCGGCCAAAAATTGGGCTCCACGAGAAGAGTCTGCCAGCACGCTTTGAGAAACTCGCCAATATATGGCTGCTGCAACGGCGGACACACAGCGTCGCTCTCCGAAGTGAGACCCGCCAAGCTGGCAAGGAGGTGGCAGATCGCGTTGGCGTCGCCCTCGTTGGCCGCCCGCGCAAGGAAGCCCTCGATCGCAGGCAGCAGCGTCGGCCAGCCAAACGTTTCCAAGCTCGTATAGATGCACTGAGCGGGTCTGGTGTCTTGGGAAGACGAAATACACAGCGTGTCACGAATGAAGCGCTGAAGCAGCTCAACGTCTTCGTACTGGAGCAAGAGATGGAACATGGCGATCTTCTCGTCATCATTGGTCCGACCAATGACGTTGTCGAATGTCGTGAGCGCGCCAATCATACAGTCGTGGAGTCCGAGGCCGAGGTCGTCGAGCTGGCCATGGTCAAAGGCCGCTCTTAGCAAAGACACAGCGCCCGACGGACCCACAATCGTGACACGGAACCGCTTGGGCCAGAAGAGGATCGCGGTCTTCGGACGCACGGTCTCGTCGCTGCCTATGCCCTTGCTGTCGACGAAGTGTTCGACAGTCGTGGCATAGAGACCAGAGAGAACGGTCCTCGGCACATTCCACGCTTCGTGGCTCATGTAGTCCGTGACTCGGGTATCAAAGTGCACCCAATGGCCGTCGGCATCCTCGAACGCGTACCAGTATGACGCATACTGTTCCAAGCCAACGAGCGCAACGTCGTAGCCGCCCGTTGCCACGAGCACATCGACGAGAGTCTTGTCGATGCGCTCGAGCAGGTAAGTCGACAGCATTTGCATTCTGGTCCCAAGCGCAATGCAAGGGATATCACTCGGTGGGTCGTTGGCGATCGCTGCAAAAGCTTCGATGACGTCATCCCGGGTCACCGGCGGCTCCCACGACTGCGCGTCGCACGTCAAGGCGTACACAAGCACCACGCGACGGCCGGATGTGATTGGCGCGCTCGTGATCTTATTGAACGAGGCAAAGAGCTGCACGCCTTCCCGCGACGCTGTCAACACCTGCGTGTCGGTGCCGTTGGTGAACGTCAGCTCACCACCCTCGTATGTTGACGGCAAAGAGACCACAAGCGTCCCGACGACATGCGGGATCTCGGGCGTCGGCGCCAGCGTCGTTCCGACAGAGTCGATGCAGAGATGCGACAAGACCACACGGACAGGGCTATTGACGTAGAGCGATCGCTGGAGGGCTGGAAGAATCTTCATATCGAGGTACGTCTCCCACGTCTCCATCTCAAGCATCGCGATCTTGGCTGCGGGAATGATACTGGTGTAAAGTGCTGTGAGCTGCTGCTCTTGCGTCGAAGTCCATGGCCAGGCGAGAGGACCGTCGACGCCGTCCAGAGCAAATGCTGGCGCCAATGGCACGGACAGCTCGGTGCGATACACATACGACTGGGCCTGAAGATGTTTGTCAAAGGCAGCCTTGTATCGAGCAGCGGATGCCATCGATGTCGGGGGTGGTGAGCAAGCCGAAGATGAGCCACTAGGACGCTATAGCGCGCGTAAACGTTTCGATTCTGGTTGAAGATGCGAATAGCTTCCGTTGAGAATAGCGTTGGAGGCAAAGCATCTGGATCAATGCGCTGCATACTAGTACAGTACCCCTCACCAACATGGAGGCTAGAGATTCTCTGGGGTCATAAATCACTTCTGCGTCTCAGCCAATCAACCAGCCACGGGGCTTTGTGCTGTAGCCACCCAAACCCCCTCGGACCAACAGCTTCGGCCAGCACCACCAAATATACCCAAGGAGAATAAGGGAAAACTTACAATTGTTAAATACGTGGAGATATATAGACACTAATATGGTGCGCTCCGGTGCTTCTTCTTGGAGCAGTGCACGTCGCAGAGGTTGTCGTTGCGCTCGTACGCTGGCCGTTGGCAGCCATCGGCGCGGCAGCGCTTGCCACCACCGTGCGCCCAGCAGAGACCGTGGCGCAGCGCCGTTTTTGTGCAGCCGGCCTCGCCGCACTGCTTGCCGCCGCCGTGGGACCAGCACACGCCGTATGTCTTGGAGCGGTTGGAGCAGTTGGGGAACGAACACGTCTTGGAGCCGCCGTGCTTCCAGCAGAGGCCGTTGGTCTTGGCGCCGCTCGGGCAGTCGGCGACGCTGCAGCGCTTGCCGCCGCCGTGCGCGATGCAGTGACCGCGCGTCACGGCGAACTTGGTGCAGCCGGCGTGCTTGCACGGGCGCGAGCGCGGCGCGGGCGGCGACCGCGTCTTGGCCATGAGCGGGCTCACGCGCGGACTGCGCAGGCCCATCGTGCTCGTCTCGGGGCTCTGCGGGCAGCTCGACGGCGGGGCAAAGTCGTGCACGAGGAAGGCGAGCGAGAGCTTGGACGCCATGCTGGTCTTGCGTTTCGGTGTTGGAAATTGGCAACTGGCGACTTGTCATCCTCCGGTGACGCCAGAAATGTATCTGTACGTGTTCGATTTATCTTGATTGAAGTATGCCATAGTGTAAGGCGAACGTACGGTTGTACGGACTTGGTTCGGCCGAGGGCCCTGACGCGATGCTTGGCCCGCTTTCCCAAGACTGTCTCGACAGCTGGCTGCCGACCAGTTCGGCGGGGGATGGGTGCTGGCCCATACAAAACCCAAGTGCTTTGCAATGGGTTCGGCGCCGTTCGGTGGCCACGCCACGTGCAACAGACGTGATCATAAGCGCGCCCCTCGACGAGGACCCTACTGATTCACCAAGCCTACGTAGTATAAAATCCACTAACTGATATGGGGTCCGCGCTAGCGGGCCACGCGCAGAGCGCCAGCGCCACGAGCCCACTTAAGCCGTGGAGCCTTGCATTTGAGACGGTAAGGAGAAGTGCGTTTTGGCATCTCGAACGCGCATGTGACTTGTCACCACGTGTCACACGCCAGCTGGGCTTCTAGATCTCTGAACCGGAGGATTGTTATGATCAAATGACGATGTTATAACTGCGGGACGACGACTGCAGTGCAGCTCTGGGAGTGTTTTTGTATGAAAACTACTCATCACCTACGGTACGCTGGATAGTGGGAGGAGCAAGATGGCACTGCGCAACGCTGGATAGGCAAGTGGCAAGTGGCGAGATCACCGCCGAGGGCGGTGGCAGCAAACACACGCGAAACGACAGCTTTTCTCCAACAACGAGTATCTCTTGCGAGGCCGGATCAACCGTCATCAAGGCGTTGGACGTTGAACCGAGATCGCTGCACCAGCAGGTGGGCGCCTGTCGCGCGAGCCAGCGTCGTGCAAAGTCACACTAATTGGCGTGCAAATGACGAGAGTTTTGGAGCGCCTGTCTGGGTTCGTCCGTGTTTACGTCGGGTGCCACCGTCACGCATACCACGGCCGTCGCAGCGTCTGCGTTATAACACGCAGCCAGCGACATCCAGCGCCGCAGCCTTTCGAAATGCAAAGCAACTCGGTTGGACTGAAGCCGACAGCTGTCCGACCCTCATACACTACGGTATCATAGTTCGTCTACAGGTCTTCTACTACTGGTGCTGGAGCCGGTCAACCTGCGCCTGTAGCGTCGCCAGTGCGGCCAAGCTCTCGCCGAGACTGGCGTGCTCGACAGAGGCTTGACCGATGCGTTCGTCGTCCTGCGCCTGGATGGCTTCGGGGACGTTCGTCGCGTACTTGGGGTCGGCCCGCTTGGCGTCCAGCATCGCGAGCGTCTTCGCAGCCTTGGCCTGGCGCTTCATGAGGCGGTCGACCTCGGCCGAAATGCGACCGCTGGTCTCGAGCCCGATGGGCAGCGGCAACAGCACTACGTTTTTATACACCCAATGAGCCAGCGTCCTTGCTGCTGTTGCCCGCGATCCCACTGCAGATCCTTCGGCATACGCCAGCATCCATATTCAATAACAAATCGTACCTTGGCAGTGCTCGTGTAGCGAGTGCGTGAGCCAGATATGGTCGGGCGACTTGGTCTCGTCGTCGACGGTGCTCACGAGCGCGACCGGCCCGGCCCGGCACTGCGTTGCAATGTCCTACGCACGCGGTGACATCCAGTGGCTTGCGACAGCGGCCACGTACGCTCAGGTTGCGCTGTAGGAGCGCCATCGTCGTCGCATCACTGCACTGAATCTTCAAGCCACTAAGAACACAGCTCGGTTCGTCAATGGGAGAGCGAAAAGGTGGTACTCGACGGTCGACGCGTCCGGCGCCAGCGTCTTGCGCGTGTGCCGCAACGACCGCACCGCGTGCATGACATCCAGTACCGCCTAAACCATCCAGTGTTTGATGCAGAATATGACCAAACGCCAAACCTGCATGCTCGCTTCGGCGTCACGGTCCACCCAGCGCGCCCACTGCGCCGGATCCGGGAACGCGGCCGTCATGAGCGAGTGCTCGCTGCCGCCTTGGAGCCGCTGCCTACAGACGCTGATAAGCAGGTACGATCCGAGTCTTATTGTCTACCAGAGCTCTTCGGTCACAAACGGCATGATGGGGTGCAAGAGCCGCAGCGACGTGTCCAAGGCAGTCGTCAGCGTCGCCTTGGCCGCCTCCTTGGCGTGCGCATCGTCGTCTTGGTACAGAACAGGCTTGGAGAACTCAATGTACACGTCGCAGAGCTCCTGGATGAAGAAGCGCTGGGCCGCCGTCGCGCTGGTGGCGAGCTTAAAGCTGCCGTAGCCGTCGTGCACCTTGGTGACGGCGTCCGCCTACCTCGACGGTCCATATCCAATTGAAATATTTTGCCATATATGCGTACCAGTCGGCTGAGAATCCAGCGGTCCGCGAGACTCATGGACGGCACGTGCGACTCGAGCGATGACGACGACGCTGTCTGCACCAATGGCAGCGCATACCGCAGAGCGTTCCACATCTTGTTGCAAAAGTGGCGCGACGCCACGACGCGCTGCAGATCCATGTTGATTTGACGACCTAGAAAGATATATGGATGCGTCGTATGGCCACTATCTATGTGTACCTTGCGAGAGATACGAGGCCAGCGTGAGCCGGAGCGCGTCCGTGCCGCAGCTCGGGAGGCCGCTCGGAAACTCCTTCTTGAGCTCCTTCTCGGCCCGCGCGCGCTCCTTGGGGTCGAGGTTGCCTTCCTGAAAAAGTATCAATGTATCAGATAACATCAGAGAGAGTATGTACGTGGAGGCCGTCGAGGAGCGTCGGGAGGTCGATGCCGCCAATCACATGCAGCGGATCGATGACGTTGCCAAGGCTCTTGGACATCTTGCGGCCCGTCTTGTCGCGCACCATTGGGTGCAGCCACACAGCCTTAAACGGCTGTGTGCCGCCGCTGAGCTACACATAGCTCGATATATATACATTGATACAAACTTGATACTGTACCTCGGTGCAGAGCATGCTCATGCGGGCGACCCAGAAGAAGAGAATGTCCGAGCCCGTCTCGAGGAGCGACATTGGGTACAAGTGGCGAATCGACTCGGGGACGCTATCGTCATTCGGCCACTCCTACAAACGCCATTAGGCATAGCTCTCCAGTATCAACTTGATACCAGCGACGAAAGCGGGAGCAAGGCCGAACTGAACCACGTATCGAGAACGTCTTCGTCTTGCTCGAGCGTGAATGAGCCCGGCGACAGGTCGTACTGCGTCATCGCCTGCGCCGTTGCGTCTTCGATGGACCGCGCGACGACCCACTTGTCGTCCGTCGTCATCTTGTCGGTATGGACGCGGTAGGCCGGAATCCGGTGCCCCCACCACAGTTGGCGCGAGATGCACCAGTCCTGGACGTTGTCGAGGAAGTGATACCACGTGTGCTGGTGCTGCGTCGGCGGCTGGAACGGCAGCGCCTCCGTGCGCACCGCCTGCCTCAGACCGATCAGTTGGGCTCTGGTTGCTAACGACGTACCGCCGCCGAGCGCGCCGCCATGTCTTCGCACTTGATGAACCATTGCGGCATCAAGTACGGCTCGATGACGTTGCCCGAGCGCGAGCAGATTGAGACCGTCGTCGGGTGGTCCAGCTACGAGTCCTTCAGAGTCCCATAACGTTCACGACGCCCACCGTGTCGATGAAGAGCCCCTTTTCGCGGAGCAGCTCGATTATGTGGAGCCGCGCGTCAAAGCGGTCCAAGCCTGAGAGCGACGGGATGTCGGTCACCATCTTGCAGTCGAGGTCGATCACGATGGGCTCAGGCAGGTTATGGCGCTGGGCGCACGCAAAGTCGTTGGCGTCGTGGGCCGGCGTGATCTTGACGACGCCAGTGCCGAGCTCGGGGTTGACGAGCGCCGCGTCACAGACGATCGGGAGTCTCTGACCCGAGAACGGGTGCAGCACAGATCGCCCGTGGAGGTGCGTGTACCGGTCGTCCTCCGGGTGCACGGCGACGGCCACGTCCCCGAGGATGGTTTCCGGACGCGTCGTGTCGACCTCGACGAAGAGGTCGTCGGCGTCGGCGACCTAGACGCAAATTAGTGTTGCGAATGCTATACAACTGGGAAACCTGGTAGCGGAAGCGGTACATGACCCCAAACTCCACCGGCGCCTTGCGACCGGGCAGCGGCAGCAGCGTGCGCTTCGTCAACGGCACTGCGTCCACCTCAATGTCTGAAATGGCGGTCTGGAGCGTCGGGCACCTACTCGACGCGTGAGATGCCTCCTCGCTGCATATGCTCGCACCAGTTGACCATGCGCCGGTGGCGGTAGATGAGGCCTTTCTCGTGGAGACGGACAAAGGCGTCGACGACCGCGGCCGACCTAGCGCATGCGTGAGCCATCATACAGGCATCATTTCGTCGCACGCACCGAGGACCGTCGAGCGTAAAGTACTTGTGGTCGTGGTTGAGGACGGCGCCGAGCCGGTCCAGCTGCCCGAGGATGCGCGACCCGTACGTCTCGTACCACGCCTCGACATGGCTTAAGAAGGCGTCGCGGCCAATGTCGTGTCGCGTGAGCTGCTGCTCGCGCATGAGCTTCTTCTCGACGACACTCTGCGTGGCGATGCCGGCGTGGTCGAGGCCCGGGATCCAGCGCACGTCGAAGCCGCGCATGCGGTGCCAGCGCGCGATCGCATCCTGGATCGTCGCCGTGAGCGCGTGGCCAATGTGCAAGGCGCCAGTGATGTTGGGCGGCGGCAGCAGCATCGTAAAGTGCTCCGTCGCGTCCGGCGTCGACGCGTGCGTCTGCCAGTAGGGCTGCCAGCCCTCTTCCACCGACATCGGGTCGTACGTCGGCGCCATCGGCGTCTCTAGAACGCGCCGCTTCAACGGCTCAGGTAACGATGCATATGAGCGCAAGAAACGCGTCGGCCGGCGCGGCTGCAACAAGCGGCGGATCATCGGCGGCTGGTTGGTACGCAATTGAATTCGGCATATGCCGCTTTCAACGTGACATGCGACACGCCAATATCGCGGGTCCTCGGTCGATAGCGTCACTGCGGCAGCTCCCCGGGACGTTGTCCGTTACTATCAATGGTACCCTAGTGCCGTAAGCGCACGTATGTTGGGTCGTTCTAACGAAGGGCCGACGCCGCCGTTCATTTGGTGGCGCCACCACCAGCGCCGAAAACACTGAAATAGTGTATATCATCAAAAGGTGTGCGCACCGTTTCAAGAGATCTCAACGCAACTCGAACGACGAGATGGCTCGCGTCGCGCCGCTCACGCTGGCCAAGCTCCGCGGCCCGCGTCTGTGGGCGCGCGAGGTGACGCTCTTCGAGCGCGCCCCGGGGTATGGCAGCAATGGCGTGCGCACGTCCAAGTACACGCTGGCCTCGTTCGTGCCCCGGAGCCTCCTCGAGCAGTTCCGTCGCGTGGCCAACTTCTACTTTTTGATCATTTCGCTCCTGCAGCTCACGACGCGCTTGTCGCCGACCAACAAGTACTCGACGATCGGACCGCTCCTGCTCGTGCTGGTGGCGACCATGGCCAAAGAGGCCGTCGAAGACAAGGCGCGCCACGACGCCGACGCCAAGGTCAACCGCACGCGCACCATGGCGCTGCGCAACGGCGCCTTCGCCTCAATCGCATGGCAGGACGTAGTTGTTGGCGACGTCTTGCGTGTCTCAGAGCACGAGTGGGTGCCCGCGGACGCCGTGCTCTTGCTCACGTCCGAGCCAGAGCAGATCGCCCACGTCGGGACGGCCAACCTCGACGGCGAGACGAGCCTCAAGGTCAAGACGTGTCCGTCGTACGGCGACATTGTCCTCGAGCGGACTGAGCACCTGCGCTCGGTCGCAGGCGTTGTTCGCACCGAGGCGCCCCACGAGTCCCTCTACACGTTCGAGGGCGAGATTGCTATGACGGACAAGGCGTCACCAAGCAGCGCGGCCACCACGAGCTTGCACATGGACAACGTCGTGCTCCGGGGCACCAAGCTCGTCAACACTGAGTGGGTCATCTGCGTCGTCGTGTACACTGGGCGCGACACGAAGCTGCTCTTGAGCACGAAAGCGGCGCCGTCCAAGTTTTCCCGCGTCGACGCGATCGCCAACCGGTGCATCCTCCTCATGTTCCTCCTGCTTGTGCTCGCCGTGACGCTGAGCGCGGCCGGGACTGTCTACTACGAGGCCGCGTTGCACCAGCACACGTACCTCCAGGGTTCGTCGCCAACGTCATTTGTGACCGCCTGGGTGACCTACCTCATCTTGTACAACAACCTCGTACGTCGACCTACGTGGCCGCGTCAATAAGATGTTGGATCTTAGGTTCCGATTTCGCTCTATATTAGCTTGGAAGTGGTCAAGTGGCACCAAGCGCGGCGCATGGAGCGAGACCCCAACCTGGTACCTTTCACTCTCCCACAGGTATATATTGACAAATAAGAACTAGACGATCGACGGAGTCCCGACGCATGTGCGGACAACCAACCTCAACGAGGACGTCGGGCAAGTGAGCTACGTCTTCAGCGACAAGACGGGCACGCTCACCAAGAACGAGATGGCCTTTCGCATCTGCAGCATCCACGGCGCCATCTACGACGTACAGCGCTTCTCTTGGTATAGTTTAATGTTCGTCACTGGCTCGAGTAGGACGCGTCGACACCAGTACCCCGCCGACAGAAGCCGAATTCGATCGCCGCCAACTGGGTGCACCAGACCCACGACGACCTGCTGGAGCGAGGCAGTGCGCTCGAGCCCGTCCAAGACTTTTTCCGGTGTCTCCTGCTCTGCCACACGGCGAGTGCGGCGCAAAGTGTGATGCGGTCGACGTCACCGGATGAAGTCGCACTCCTGAACGCGTGCCCGCGCTTCAACTGCGCCTTTGAAGGTCGGAGTCACAACACTCTGCGCATCCGCATCTTTGGCAAACGCGAAGAGTATTCGCTGCTGAGTCTCCACGAATTCGACTCGGACCGCAAGTGCATGTCGGTCGTCGTCCAGCGCAACAAGCTTTTTGACGACCAGGACCAACTGTTGACACCATGCAGCAAGAAGAGTTTGGCGCCGATCGTGGTGTACGTCAAGGGCGCCGACGCCAGCATGCTCCCATCGTCCCATGACTCGCTCCTGAGTCTGCACGTTCACTACTTTGCCTGCATGGGCCTTCGAACTCTCGTGTTTGGCCAAAAGATTCTGACGCCCTCGGCGTTCACTGCCTACAAGTTTAACAAAGCCAAGGACGAAGCCAGCGCGCTGCGGCACCTCGAGGCCAACGTCGACCTCCTTGGCGCGACCGGCATCGAAGACCGACTGCAAGACGGCGTCAAGGCCTGTGTCCGCAAGCTCGCGGACGCCGGCATCCACCTCTGGATGCTCACGGGGGACAAGGACGAGACGGCTGTCGCGATCGGCCACGCGTGCGGGCTCATTCCACCGAGCGCACGGCTGCTTGTGCTCGACAAGCGCACGAAACAAGACTGCCTTGACCAGATCACGCACATGCGCTACGTCCTCAAGAAGGACGGGCTCTGGGCCCCGCACAAGCCCAACGCCCAGCTCTCGCTCGTCCTCAACGGCGTCGCGCTCGAGTGCCTCCTCTCCGAGCCACCCAAGTCGTCGAAGCGCAGCAGTATCGTGCTCACGCGCCGCAGCATCCAGCTCGAGTGCGCGGTCAGCTACAGCACCCTAGCTTCATATACAGACGGCCCAACGGCCTTGATGGACCTCGTGAGCCAGTGCGGCAGCGTCATCGCGTGCCGCTTGTCGCCGTCGCAGAAGGCCGAGATTGTCGCCATGGTCAAGGCCAGCCCCAAGGCGCCCGTGACGCTTGCGATCGGCGACGGCGGGAACGACGTGACTATGATCCAGGAAGCGCACATCGGCGTCGGCATCGCGGGCCACGAAGGTCGTTGAGGTCCCATATGTGTTCTGAGAGGCTGTGATAGGCATGCAAGCGGTGCGGGCCGCCGACATTGGCGTCGGTCAGTTCCGGTGCCTCTCGCACCTCATTCTGCTCCACGGTCGATGGAACTACCTTCGCGTTACGAATCTCATCACGTTCACGTTCTACAAGAACGCTGTGCTCATCGGCAGCCTCCTCTGGTTCTCCTGTTCCTGCGGCTGGTCGGGCCAAACCCTCTACGACTCGTACCTCATGGTCGGCTGGAACGTCGCGTACACGCTTCTGCCGCTCCTCGTGCTCGGGATTTTCGACCAAGACCTCCAGGCGTGGATCGTGTGGCAAGCGCCGCGTATTCTACAATGCCTCCCGCCCTTTGGCGTCAAGCAGATCTTATGCACGCTACTCAACGCACTCTACCACGCGACGCTGCTCGTGCTACTCACCATGCCGTCGGTACTGGGGACCTCGCTCGACACGGGCGGCCTCTTCCTCCTCGGCACGCGCTTCTACGGCATTCTCATTGTGACTGTGACGCTCAAGGGCCTCTCGCTCATGCACCCAATGTACCGCTTCACGCGCTGGCATATAGCAGCACTGGTCGTGGGCGTCCTCGCCTACGTGGCCTTTGTCCAGGTGTACGCCCGCCTCTACCGCGTCTGGCCCAACGACGTCTTTGCCGACTTGTATGGGCTCGCGAGTCCAGCGCGCGACGAGCAACCACTCTTGCGCCTGCTCTTGTACCCTGTGCTCACACTGCTCTTGGACGCGACGGCGCGCGTGTTCCAGGTGTTGGTGGCGCCGACCAACGCCGACATCCTCGCCGAGCTCGAGGTCGCACCCCGTGGGCGGCGGATGCCGGGCACGGTCGCGTCCGACCGCTGGCGCACGCAGGACACGACGGGCTTTATGCTCCAGCGCTGCGAGACCTTTCGAAAGCTTGAGCTCTCGCCGCTCGACAAGGTGCTGCAGCAGCTCGCGCGCCTCCAGCGGGTACTCGCAACCCCTCGGCCTATCTGAACATGGGGCGTAGGAGGCGTCGATCGCCAACGGTCGGTCCGACCCGATGCTGCAAAAGGAGTCGGACTTGCAGCAAGGGTACGACCCGGCGACGATCCCGATGCACCCGCTCACCATGGTGTTCTTCAAGCACCCGGACCTCGAGGCTGAGTACCACCGCGGGTTCGTCGCCCGCGAGCGCAGCCGCCTGCGCGTCGTGCTTCTCTGGGTCGTCGGCCTCCTCGTGCCGTACGCCGTCCTCGAGTACTATAGCAGCAGCGGGTCGCCGTCGCGGCTCGGGCTGCGCCTGGCTTTGCTCGTCGCAGCGCTCTTGTTTGTGGTCTACACGCGCTGTCGGCTCTTTGCCCTGCACTACCACGGCTGCCTCGCGCTCGTCTTGGCGTCCATGGCGCTGCTGCTCTCGGCGACCGTCGCCACCACGGGCGTCTTCGCCGCGACGATCTTCCCGATCGTGCTCTTCGCCGTCGTCCGCATCAAGTTTGTGTACGCGGTCGCCACCGCGCTGCTGCATTTCGCCGCGTATGCCTACTGGACTCCGGCGCAGCTCAGCTGGTTTGGCGCGTACCTCGTGTTTGTGGCCGGCTTTGCGGCCAACGGCAGCTGGCGCACGCAGCGGGCGATGCGCCGGGATTTCCTGCAGAACCGATTTCTTTTGCACGAGGAGGCCCGCGCGCTGCGCATCTTGGACCACATGCTGCCACGCCATGTGATGCGTAAGCTCGAGGCGAGCGAGCCCGTCATCTCGGAGGCCGAGCCGTCCGTGACCGTCCTCTTCTGCGACGTGGTCGACTTTGGCCAGCTCCTCGAAGAGCACCCACCACCCCATGTCGTACAGCTTCTCGACCACATTTACTCCCTCTTTGACGAGCTCTGCTTCAAGTACAGTGTACAGAAGGTACGCAGGCCTTCATCGTTTTCGAATGCTACGTTGATTAGGTCGAGACGGTCGGGAAGACCTACATGGCGTGCGCCGGCCTCCAAGAACACAAGCTGTCGACGCCGCCCGTGACGCCGCATGCGCTACGCGCTGCGTGCTTAGCCACCGAGATGCTCGAGCGCCTCCGCGCGTGCCATTTCGACGAGCACGACCACGGTGCGTCACGTGTTTGATCGCGATGGCTCAGAGAACGCAGGGCTACGGCTGCGCATTGGGCTGCACTCGGGGCGCGTCATCACGGGGCTCGTCGGGAAGAAGAAGCAGCAATTCTCGCTCTTCGGCGACACCGTCAATACGGCGTCGCGCATGCAGAGCAGTAGCAAACCCGGTCAGATCCGCGTCTCAGAGGCCACGTACGCTTCTCTCACCCCCCACTTTGAGGCGACGTCCGAGAAGCTCCTCATCAAAGGCAAGGGGGTAATGGACACGTTCATCTTGGGGGACCCGGCGTCCGACGCGGCGAGGGCCCTACTCTCGATTATCGGCCGTTCGATGGACGAGACGGACATGCTATTGCAGCTCAGCGTTGTCGAGTGGCTCCAGTACGTTTTCCTTCCGATGGCGATCGCCCAGGCCGACGAAGACGCGATGCAGTCCCACGTGCACTCAGTGTGGCTCACGTTTCACGACGCCGAGATGGAAGCCATCTACTTGCGCAAGGTCATGGGGAAGCAAGCCACCGCCATGCGCTGGACGCTCTCCGTTCTGAGTCTCTACATGCTCTACGCCGTCGTGCGGGACGTCGGTCGATCCAGTGGCAGCGACGACACGGCCGCGCTCATCAGCATGCGCCTCGTACGTCTTATCGTCCAAGCGAGACCCTAACCCTTTCTCTGGAATAGATATACCTCGTGGCGGCGGCCACGACTGTGGGTCTACTGACCTACTACCACGTCCAACTAAACTTTACGACGTCGACGACCGCCCGACGTCACCAAGTGCTCCTCGTACTGAGTCTTTTGCTCGCTCTCGCCGTTCTCGGCGGACCGCAATTCCCGACACTGGATGCACCGCTCGTCTTTGAGATCGTCCATCTCGACTGGCTCTTTGTGGCCTTTGTCGCGTCGAGTAGTGGGCTGCTCTTGCACGAGTTCACGCTGCTCCTCAACGGTCTCGTGCTCGGTGCGCAAGTGCTTTTGCTGCTTGTCTACAGCAGCGACATTCTCCGCCATGCGAACCCCCTTCTCTTCTCTAGCTTTGGTGTCGTCGCCAACGTTGTCGTTTCGCGCGGACTCGAGTTCTTTCGCCGGCGGCACGTGTGGCTGCAGACGCGCACCGAGGTCGAGACAGCCAAAGCCGACCACCTACTGTACCAGCGCCTCCCGCAGCGCGTCGTTTCCAAGCTCAAGACGGGCGAGTCGGTCTGCGAGACGCACCACGAGGTACACCTTCCTCGCGTAGGGGTAGGTGTGAGCCGTTTCGGGGGTAGGTCGGCATTCTCTTCTCCGACATCCAGGGGTTTACGTCCCTCGCGTCGAAAGCGCAAACCGAGCAAGTGATCCAGATCCTCGATTCACTCTTCGCGGCCTTTGACGTCCTCACCGAGACCCACGGAGTCTTCAAGATGCAGACGATTGGCGATGCCTATGTGATCGTGTCGGGTCTACCCTACCCCGACATGGGCCTCTCTACCACCGTGCCGTCGTGGGTGCATACGTGTGCCAAGCGCCGCATGTCCCTCGCCGATATTCGCCAGCTAAACCAAGAGCTTGCGTCGAGCTGCGAGCCAACGGCGGTGCGCACTGTGGCTGAGCCCCTGCACCACTTGCAACGGCTCATCGAGATGGGTCTCGCGATGCAGCGAGAGGTGGCCAAGGTACGTCGCCGCCTCCTCCGTGGTATAAGATACGAATTACCGTAGATCTTTGACCCGACGAGCGGCGACCGCTTGCAGATGCGCATTGGCATTCACGCTGGCTCGATTGTCGGGGGCGTCATTGGCACCACGACGCTACGCTACGACATGTGGGGGCCGGACGTCCTCTTGGCGAATGCGCTCGAAGCGAGCGGGATCCCCGGCGGCCTCGTCGTGAGCAGCGCTGTCCGTGACGCGCTGACGTCACACGACGTCCCCATGACGTACCACAAGACGATTCAAAAGCACGTCGAGATCTACGCGGTGCGCGCAGAGACGAGGAAGGAAGACTGGGTCGTGTCCCTCCACGAGTCCGATCTGCGCAAAGCCAAACCCAAGTCTCTCACTGACGACCGCCGGTTCTCCAACTGATGATACCAATGCGCGTGTTAATGTCAATAATGCAAAGGGTTGCTGCTTGACGGCGACCCTCGGTGTGTGTGGCGGAGACTTGCACGCTTCTGTGTCGGGCTGGCCAAGCAAATAGGGTACTCTGACGCCGTGTACATCTTGGTATCACCTGGATCGGTCAGCGTGTTATATGTGGCTAAAGATGACTAGAAGTGGCGCACGCCACTATTTACAATGCAGCCAATATCGCGGGCCATACGCCTCGTTGGGCGACGCGAAGTAGCATTTTGTGGCCTCCGAAGCGCGTTCTACCTTGTGGCAAAGTTTAAGCGATTTCAATTTTCGATCGCATCTTCGCCATCCAGCGTCGAGCAGCGCGATGGCAGTGTGTGGATTTCGATTTCGGGACACATGATTGGATAAAAAGAGAAATCTAATGGCCAATGAGAGCATGACAATGGATCCCGCCCTCCCTGTCGAGCAATCTTCGCCTGCTTAGAACACTCGCCAAGCCACGACGTGAAGGCTGCACCAGAGCTGGCTGAAATCGATTTTGCCGAACGCATTAAGACCAACGGCCTTCGCTCACTTGCTCCGAGTACGTCGCTGCTTACACAAAGGCCGGCGTTGCAGCGGCCGCGGGGCTGTGAAGATCCAGCTCCATGGCCTTGTGCAGTGCAGTCTCGTCGTCGTCGCCGGCCGCCGAGCTCTCTTGCGCCGCAGCAATCTGCGCGGCAATCACGCGCCAGTCGAGGCGCTGCAGGGCCAACAAAATGAGCACAAACTTGGCGCCTTCCCCTAGCACACTAAGCTCTCCAATAAGATCAAGCACGCACACTATTTCCACGCACCTGCCCCACCAGAGACCCGCGAGGCCGCCGCGCAGCGTCAGGCCAAACAGGTACGAGGCCGGGAGGAGCACGAACCAGGACCCGACACCCGAAATGACCGCCAGCGTTGAAGCCAGCGACATGGCTTCAATGACCGCCGACAAGAAGACGTGGAAGCTCGAGAAGGCCATCGCGAGCCCAAACATCGGGAGGATGCTCAGAATAACGTCGACGACGGCCTCGTCACTGGTGAATACACCAATCAGCGGCCGGCCAAAGAGCACGACACCAAGCACCGTCACGATGGACGAAAGCGCGCCGAGGACAAACCCCACGAGTAGCGTGCGCTTTGCGTTGCGCGGCTGGTTGGCGCCAAGCGCATGCGAAATGCGCACTTGGATCGGAAGGCTAAAGCCCGCAAAGACGCCGTACCCGAGCATCCAGATGTTGAAGACGATGCTGTTGGCCGCGAGGTTGATGCCGCCGAGCGCGCCGGCGACCATGGCCACGACGTTGTATGCCCACTCGTCGAGCGCGAGGTTGAGAAACATGGCGCCAGTCAGCGACGCGAACCGGGCCACGTACGCTGGGTTGAGCACCGCCCACGACCAGCCGCCCCACGTGCCTACACCCTTCCTACTGAGTACGAGAAAGGCAGCACGACATCGTACGCTTGTGGTAGCCCTTGTACAGGAACGCATAGAGGAAGAGCGCGGTCGGCTGGAAGACGGCGGCGACAAAGGCCGCGAGCGGGCTCCCGATGAAGCCGAGACCGGCAAACGACCCGACGCCGTAGATCAGAACGTAGTTGGCGCCAAAGACAACGCCGACGCTCCACGTGTCGATGACTGTTGTTGGCGTGAGGATCTCTTGAGCCTGGAGGTATTGCCTGCGCCGTCCGTGAGCAAGAACGACGTACGATCGATGCAAAGTACCGCAGCGCGACGTAGAAGGCTTGGGGCCACACCGAGAGCGCCGAGTAGCGCGCGTACGTGTCGGCGAGCAGGAGGAGCTCGGCGTCGTCCGTCACGATCGACATGATGTCGCCGACGTAAAAGTACACCACCATCACGGGCACCGAGAGCAGCGTGAGCCCGAGCAGCCCGAGCTGGAACCACGTGCCGACGAGCTCGTAGTTCTTGGCGCCGTACGCTTGGCCGCAGAGCTACGTATGCATATAGCCATGTAGCACATCGTACGAGCTGCCTACGGTGCAGATGGAGACGGCAAACGCCCAGTTGAGCACGCGGAGCGCGCCGATGAACGAACCCGCGAGCGCGCCAGCCGCGAGCTCCTTCGTGCCGAGGTGCCCAAGGAAGGCCGTCGAGATGGTCGTGACGCAGAGCCGGCAAAAGGTCGCGAGGCTCACCTTCCACGCCATGCCGCCGATGGCCGCCGCCTCGGCGCGCAGGTCGCCCCAGCCGCCCTCGCTCGCGACGAGTGGCGTCGCTTCGTCGGCGCCCATGCTGCGTAATCGGCCGGATAAAGCCCTCCGGATACGCAACACATATGACGTGGCGCGTGGACGACACGAAAGTATCATCGCTGGTCAAGTAGCCAGTGCTGCAATCTTTTTCCGGCGTCCAAGATCGGTGGCGTCGGGTCCCACTGCCGACGCCGTCACTTACGACGTGTGTCGCAGTCACGAAGCCGTCGCCGCCGCCGTCCGCGGACGCGTGCCCAGCGCCATCGCACCGCTGCGTCGCACTCCGCGCCATTACCGAGCCGTGTCTATGGCTCCGTCCGACCGGCGCCGCCACGGGGCGGAAGCCATGCCTCGAACCGGCGCCAACGGCTACGATTGCGTTCAGCGTTGTCTCTCGAGGGCTATGGCGTGCGTCGCGTCTCGCCCGTGGCGACAGGCCGCCCGACCGAGGTGGCGGCGCGCGGCCGTGACGCATCGCTGGCTCGATGTTACTGCACCTGGGTGTAATTCATTCGGATTTGGCAAATGACTTGGCCATTGTATGTAATTTAATTCGAAAACGCAACGGCTCCAACCTATAAAAAGAGGTGCGGAGCCAGCAGGTCATTTTTGCCAAGTCGCCATGGGGAACTGCTGCTCGAACGCGAGCGCGGCGACGGTGATACCGCCGGTGCGCCCGTCGGTCTCGGCGTCCGCAGCCAAGGAGACGCCCGCTAGCCGCCGGTCCTCCGAAGGCCGGCGCTACTCGGCCGGCCCGCTCACGGTCAAGGACCTCGACATGCGCACGCTGGCACCGCCCCGCGCCAACGTCTTTACGAGCGGCAACTACACCTTCTCGTACGCCTTCGTGTCCCAGCGCGGCTACTACCCCGACGGTACGCTCTGCTTGTAATAGTTCGTGTGGCGCAGGCTGAGCACCTCCATGGCTAGCGCTCCACAAGCCCAACCAAGACGCGTTCACGTGCTTGCCGACCTTCCATGGCGACAAGTCCTTCTTTGGCGTCTTTGATGGCCATGGCTCGACCGGCGAACACTGCGCGCAGTTTGCCCGCGACAAGGTATCGCGCTGCTCGATCGTCTTGTGCCTCATGCAGCATCCTGCGTAGGTGCCAGACCTCTTGGCGGAGAACCTCAAGAACGGCATGCCTGTCTCCAACGCGCTCTCGCTCGCCCACATTGACGCCAACAGCCTCGTACGTAGTCATGCGTACCCTCCACCCTCTCATGCGGCATGCAGATCCACTCGGCGTCCTTTGACGACTCGATGAGTGGCACAACTGCAATCTCGATTCTCTTTGACGGCAATGAGATCCACGTGTCCAACGTCGGCGACTCGCGTGCGATCGTTGCGCAGGAAGTGTCGAGCGACGGCGAGGCACCACAGCTCGTGGCCAAGCCGCTCTCGATCGACCAGACGCCGTTCCGCAAGGACGAGCGCGACCGCGTCAAGAAGACGGGCGCGCGCATCATGACGGTCGACCAGCTCGAGGGCTACGAGCCGATCCACGAGAACTGGGGGCTCACGCTCGGCGACGAGATCGATGAGAGCGGCGACCCGCCGCGCATTTGGCACCCGCACGGCGACTACCCGGGCACGGCCTTTACGCGCAGCATCGGCGACCAGGTCTCGGAGGAGCTCGGTGTCTTTGCCGAGCCCGAGATCGTCACCAAGACGCTCGGCGCGCATGACAAGTTCCTTGTGATTGCGAGCGACGGCGTCTTTGAGTTCCTGACATCGCAGGCCGTCGTCAACATCGTCAAGCTCTACAAGGACCCGCTCGAGGCCTCCCGCGCGGTCGTCGAAGAAGCGTACAACCGCTGGCTGCAGTTTGAGGTGCGCACGGACGACATTACGTGCATCTGCATCTTCCTCGACGACGCGCCCATGGCTGCGCCCATCATGCCCGCCGTCTCGCGCGAAGCGTCGGCCAACTCGACCAAGATGCACCGCAACAGCATCATCGCCGGGCGCGAGGTGCTGCTTGCGATGGAAGACAGCCTGCGTCCCGTGCGCGGTCTCGGCGTCGACACCAACAAGAGCTGGCGGTCGCGCCAAACCATCATTGGCGCCGACGCTGTGCACATTTCCATGTTGCCCGATGACGACGAGGCGTCACGCGCGTCCTTGCCGTCGTCCCCGACGTCCGATGACGCGCCGTTTGACCTTGCTGCGCACACAGTCGCCAAGTCGGAAGAAGACAAGGATGCGCTGTGGAACATGGTCCAGCACAACTTTTTGTTTTCGCATCTGACCGACGACAAGGTCCGTCACGCAGCGTCCTGTCCGTGTCTCACGCGTCATTGTAGCTGAATGACGTCATTGCCGTCATGGACAAGGAGACCGTCCTTGCCGGCCAAGTCGTGATCCGCCAAGGCGACGACGGCGACAAGTTCTACCTCGTACGTCAACACATCTATCGAGACATCGACGGACGGAGGCGCGTAGGCGGAAGCTGGCAAGTACGACGTCCGCGTCAAGTCGCCCGAGATGCCGACGACCGACGACGACCACGAGCTCGGGCCCGTCGTCCATACGTACACGGCCACCGCGAGCGCGCACCCGACCTTTGGCGAGCTCGCGCTCATGTACTCCAAGCCCCGCGCGGCGTCGGTGGTCGCGACCTCGAACGGCACGCTGTGGTCGATTCGCCGGAGCGCGTTCCGGTCCATCCTTGTGCGCCGGCCGCTGCGCAACGTTGTCGCCCGCCTCCGCGCCGTGAGCCTCCTCAAGCCGCTCACGAGTGCGCAGCTGCACTTGCTCGCCGAAGCGATCAAGACGGTCGTCTACGAGAAGGACGCGGTCGTGTGCAAGGAAGGCCACGTCCACGACAAGTGGCTCGTCGTCGTCAGCGGCGCCATCTCGGACCTCAAGACGCAGCACACGTACTCGACGCACGCCTCGGTGACGGACTTTGCGCTCACGGGCTCCTCGTCCATGAGGTCCCCCGATCCCACTGTGTAGTATATGGGTGCTGAGGCTCAGATGCGTAGTCCGACGACGCTCGTGGCCACTGAAACCACCGAGTGCCTCTGCGTGACGCGGGCGGCGTTCGAAGAGGCCGTCGGCAACCTCGAGACGCTCGTGGCGACGTACCAGACACGGATAGCGCGCAAGCACGAGCTCACGGCGGCCAAGAAGACGACGCCGGTACGTTCGACCACGGAGAAGGGACGGTGTTTACGCCGTCGTGTAGCTGCGCGCACTGCTGCCGCTTGGTGCGCCGATCGAGGGCGTCTCGACCTTGGATGACCTTATTGTCGGGCCGACCGTCTTCCACGACGAGTCGTGCGCGTTCCGCATTGTGACGACTAAGAATGCAGATGCGAGTGCGATGACGCTGCGCTCGATGCCCAAGCAAGTCGCTTGCGATCGCCGACAAAAGCAGGCGCTGGCGGCCGAGCAGGACATGCTCCTCGCGCTTGGCAACGACCTTCCGCGTGGCATCACGCCGGTGGCGGCCATCAGCCACACGGCCACGGACCTGCACGCTCTCTTTGACCGCCCGATTGTGGGTCTCCTCGAGGAGTTTGGCATCTTCCCGCTCGCCGAGTCGTCCGTGCGCTACTACGCGGCCCAGCTCGTGCTCAGTCTCCAGCGCTTCCACGCGGTGCGTCCGCGGAACCCTCCTCTTCAAGGCTCATGCTGGGTGTAGGAGGGCATTTTGTGCCGGTCGCTGGACCCGACCAACCTCATGGTCGACGCGCACGGCCAGCTCTCGATCGTCGGCCTCCGGTACCCGCCTCTGGCAATATTGGCTGCAAGTGCTCACTCGGCGTAGGCAAAGCAAGTATGTCGGTGCCGGCCGCACCTTTACGATCTGCGGCAACCCCGAGTACATCTCGCCCGAGCAGATCAACGGCCACGGACAGTGCTTGGCGTCCGACTACTGGAGCCTCGGCGTCCTCCTCTACGAGATGGCGGTCGGCCACACGCCGTTTGACGGGCTCGCCGAGCTTGATATGTACCGCAGCATCGCGTCCTTCTCGCCGGTTCGAGTCCCTTTGCATGCCTGTATTCTCAGTGTAATGCTTGTAGGACACGCTCGCCTTTCCGGAGCACGTCTCGACGGGTCTGCGCGGCTTCATTGAGGCGCTCCTCCACACCAAACCCAACGAGCGCCTCGGCTGGACCGACACGATCGAGCTCGACGAAGATGCGGGTGTCATGAACGAAGCGTTCTTCGAGTCGGTCAACTGGGCCGCCCTCAAGGCCAACGAACTGCCGGTACGCCTTTCGACTCACTTGAAACATTGACATTTTTGGACAGGCGCCGCTCGAAGACATTGCCGGCGTCAAGTTTCGGGACCTCCTCGCGTCGGCGCCCGCGAGCAAGCGGACGCTGGACCTCGCCGTGCCGTACACGCGCGAGGTGGACTGGATGGCCGACTTTTAGCAGATAATGAAATTGGTTATAATTGTGTTGAAACGACCGCGAGGGGCGGGGAAATTGGTTATAATTGTGTTGAAACGACCGCGACGGTTTCCGCGACCAGTCGACAAAGCATGGCCTCCAAGGTGCTCGAGCAGCTCATCGCGCGCGGGCGCCGTGAGCGCAAGCCCTCGGAGCAGCGCGAGGTCGCCTTCAACCTCGCCGAGGTGTCGACGAACCCCGAGTTCCACGCCAAGATGGTCGAGAAGGGCGTCGTTCGGGCGCTTCTGCACCTGATCAACGAGTCGTCGGACGACCAGGGCCTGCGCTTTGCGTGTCTCTGCCTCGGCAACATCTCGTCGTGCGTCGCCATGCGCGTCCGCATCGTCGAAGAGGGCGTCGTGCCGCCGCTGGTCGGCCTCATGACCAAGTCCGACGGCGACGTCGTCGGGAAGCAGTATGCGGCCATGGCGGTCGGGAACCTCGCGGCCGAGCCCGAGAACCAAGAAGAAATCGTCAAGCTGCACGCGATCTCGGCGCTCGTCAACCTCCTCGACCCGGACGCGCCGTCGCTCGGCGCCTACAGCGCGTTTGCGCTCGCCAACCTCGCCATCAACAACGAGTACCGGCCGCTCATCGTCGAGGAGAGCGCCGTGCCCCGCCTCATTGCGCGTACGACGCTCTTCCTCTCGCCATCGTCTCACATGGGCTTCTAGTGGCGTGCTGCAAGGACCTCAGTGCGCAGCGCCAGGCCATGGCGGCGCTGCGGGGCATCTGCATCACGCCGGCGTACCGGCTCGTGGTCGTCAAGGAAGGGATTCTCGACCCGCTCGTGCTCCTTGCGCGCTCGGACGAGCTCGACATTTCGCGCGAAGTCGCCGCGGCCTTTTGCACGCTCTCGTGCATGGAGGCCAACAAGATGGAGATCGCCGACCGCGCGCTCCTCACGATCCTCGCCATGAGCTTGTCGGGCGACGCGTCCGTCGAGCAGTTTGCGTGCTGCACGCTGGCGAATCTGCTCGAGATGCCAGAGTTGCACCCCAAGCTCATCCGCGAGAACGGCCTCGCGTCCCTCCTCGCGCTCGCCTCCAACGACGAGCCGAATACCAAGGCCGAGGCTTGCCGCGCGCTCGCCAACCTCAGCGCCAACGAGGAGATGCACGAGCCTCTCATGGTGCAGGGTATCTTGGACCCGATCTCCAAGGCGCTCGTCTTCACCCACCACGTGACGCAGCGCTACGCCGCGCTCACGATTGCGAATCTGAGCGTGGTTGGCCGCCACCAGATCGCGATCGTGAGCCTCGGGCTCATTCGGCCGCTCATTGCTCTCGCGCAGGCGTTCGACCGCGAGCTCGAGGCGCGCCGGTACGCGGTCCTCGGCATCGCCAACCTCGCAGCGATGGTCGCCAACCACCCGGCGATCCTCGAGGAAGGCGGTCTCCTCGCCCTCTTCTCGCTCTCGAGCTCGTCGGACGCACTGAGTCAGTACTACGTCGCGTATGCACTCGCCAACCTCGCGTCCAACGACGCCAACCACAACCGGATGATTGAGGAAGGGGGGCTGCAGCCCATCATCACACTCGCGTGCTCGGCCGACTCGGACGCGCACCAGCAAGCCGCGGCTGCCCTCCGTGGGCTTAGCGTCACGCCGGCCAACAAGATCAAGATCGTCCAGGAAGGGGGCTTGGAGCCCCTCGTTCGGCTCCTCGGCACGGACGACGACGTCGACGTCCTCCGCGAGGTCTGCGGCGCGCTCTGCAACCTCAGCGGCAGCGAAGAAACCAAGTACGAGATTGCGAAAAGCGGGTGCGTACCGCCGCTGCTCGCCCACGCGCAGTCCGAAGACATGCTCGTCGCGCGCCAGTGCAGTGGCACGCTGGCCAACCTCGCCGAGGTCGAGGAGAACCAGGCGCTGATCGCCGCCGAGCGCGGGATTCCCCCCCTCATCGCGTGCATGCGGTCGCAGTTTGTCGAGGTGCAGCGCGAGGCCGGCCGCGCGCTCGCGAACCTCTGCGCGCGCCACGCCAACCACGACGAAATCATTGCGACCGGCGGCCACCAGCTGCTCATCTCGTCGCTTCTGTCGCCCGACATGGCCTGTCAGCGCGTCGGCGCGCTCGGCCTTTGCAACCTCTCGACCAACCCGGACGAGCGCGTGACGCTCATGACCTGCGGCGCCATGGACCCGCTCATGTCCCTGGCGCGCTCGGAAGACGTCGAGGTGCGTCCTTTTGCATGCCAAGAGGCTTGCCGCTCACGTCCGAGGTTCTAGGTCGAGATCCAGCGCTTTGCGATCTTGGCGATCGCGAACCTCGCGTCCTGCGTCGAGAACCACAAGATGATGGTCCAAGAAGGCTCGATTCCGCTGCTCATCAGTCTCTCGAGCGCGCCGGACCAAGAAGTGCGCCAGTACGCGGCGTTCGCCCTCGTCAAAGTCGCGCTCAACGCCGACTTGCGCAAGAAAATCACCGAAGAAGGCGGGCTCGAACCGGTCTTGTACCTCGCGCGCACCGAAGACTCGGACATCCACCGCGACGTGCTCCCCGCGCTCTGCACGCTCTCGTTTGCTGGTACGTGATCTCTATTTTCTACCCCCGACTTTAGCGTGGGTTAGATGCCAACAAGGCCGAAATGTGCAAGAGCGGCGGCCTACCCCCTCTCATTGCGTCGTTGAGCAGCACGGACGGCGCGACGCACCGCCAAGCGTGCTGCGCGCTGGCCAACCTCAGCGAAAGCATCGAAAACCAAGCGCGGATCGTCAACAGCGGCGCGATCGGCCCGCTCGTCGACGCGCTCATTTCGGGCACCGAGGTCATCCAGCGCGAGGCCGCCCGCGCGCTTGGCAACCTCGCCGCCAACTGCGACTATGGCGATGTCATTCTGCAGCGGGGTGCTGTCTCGCCCCTCGTGACGCTCTTGACGTCCGAGGTCGTCGAGTGCCAGCGCATGGCGGCCATGGCGCTCTCCAACCTCGCGACCAACGTCGAGAACCAAGGCCGCATGCTCAAGCTCAAGATTCTCGACCCTGTCATCGCGTGCTTGGAGGAGGCACTGGACCCACGCTCGGTCGCCGACAATGAAACCATCCGGTACTGCCTCCTCGTTCTTGCCAACCTGGCCGTGTCCCAGACGACCCACCCCGAGATCATGGCCCGCGGCCTGCACTTGCTCACGAGCTACGCCAAGCACCGCGACGTCAAGTGCCGGCAGTTTGCCGTCTTTGGCCTCGGTAACCTCTGCAGCAACCCGGAAAACGTCTACGCGATCGTCGACGCGCATGCGCTCAAGCCGCTCGTCTCGTTTGCGTTCCCTGGCGACACGAACGTCCAGTTCCAAGCCATTGCAGCCCTCCGCGGTCTCTCGGTCAACCAAGACGTGCGCCAGCAAATCATGCGTCTCGGCGCGCTCGAGCCGCTCATCCTGGCCGCGAGCTCCGAGTCCATCGAGGTGCAGCGCGAGGTGGCCGCGACGCTCTGCAACCTCTCGATCTGCGAAGAGAACAAGGTCACGATGGCCCGCGGCGGGTGCCTTCCGCCGCTCATTAGCCTCGCGACGAGCGGCGACCCGTCGCGAGAGCGCCACGCGATCTGCGCACTCGCCAACATCGCCGAGATGGTCGAGGGCCACACGCAGCGCAAGATGCTCGAGGAAGGCGTGCTCACACCGCTGTACGCGCTGACGACGTCTCCGGACATTGAAATTAAGCAGCAAGTCGCGCGCTGTCTGGCGCTCTTTGCGTCGAAACCGTCGTCCCAGCCGACGCTCTTGCGGAGCAACGCGCTGCAGCACATTGTGGGTTTTGTCAAGTCGCCGGACGCCCTCTGCCAGCGCTTTGGGACGCTCGCGATCGGGAACCTCGCGGTCTCGGCCGCCAACCACAAGGACCTCTTTGACCAGGGCGCGATCGCCGCCTTGCTGCATCTCGAGGCGTCGAGCGATGCGGAGACGAGGCGGTGCCTCGCCTTTGCCATCAACAATGTCGCGGGCAACGAAGGTAACTGGGCGACGCTGGGCAAAATGGGCATACTGCGCACGATCATCGGGCTCATGGGCGACGCCGACGAAGAGACGCACCTCCAGGCGTGTTTTGCAGTGCGCCGGCTGGCGCTCGAGCCCAAGACGCGCGTTCAGATCGTGCTGCACGGCGGCCTCAAGCCGCTCTTCTCGCTGACGCTCTCCGAGTCGACCGAAGTCCAGCGCGAGGCGACTGCTGCGATTCGGAATTTGAGTTTGAGCGAAGACAACAAAATCGCGATTGTCCTCAACGGCTTACTGCCGCCGCTCGTGACGCTCGCGCACTCGGGCGACATTGAGGTCTCCCATCAAGCGGCCGGCATCCTCGCCAACCTCGCCGAAGTAGTCGAGAACCAGGGCCGCATGGTCCAGGAAGGCGTGCTCCAGCACGTCAAGTTCATTCTGCGCTCCAAGAACGTCGACATTCAGCGGGAGGCGGTGCGGTGTATCGCCAACATGTCGGCCGAGTACGCCTACACAGCAGAGATTGCGTCCACGGGCGGCCTCGGTCCGCTCGTCGCGACGCTGAGCTCCCCGGACTTTCTCTGCCAGCGCTACGGCGCCATGGGCCTCGCCAACCTCTCGACCAACGTTGACAACGTGTCCAAGCTAATCCAAGACGGCGCGATCCACCCGCTCTCGGTGCTCGCCAAGCTCGGGAACGGCGACATTGACAGCCAGCGCTACGCCGTCTACGCGCTCACCAACCTAGCGTCCGTGCAGACAACGCACGGTCAGCTCATTGACGCCGGCATAATCTCGCTCTTCACGTCGCTTCTGAACGAGGCCGATGCGAGCATCCGCAACGCCGCTGCATTTGGAATTGCCAACTTTGCCGCGTTCCCCGAGAACCACGCGCTCTTGGTCGACGCCCCCAACTGCCTCTCGTCCTTGCTGCAGCTCGTGGCGTCGGGCGACGGGAAGAGCGTGCTGCGCGCCGTCTCGGCCCTCCGCGGCCTCTCGGTCGACGCCGCCGTGCGCGACCGCATCGTTCAAATGGGCGGTCTTCCTCCGCTTTTGGCGCTCACGCGGTCCAAAGATATGGACGTTCAGCAAGAAGTGCTGGCGACGCTCTGTAATTTGAGCTTGAGCGGCTGCATTGGCGCGTCGCCCGACCTCTTCCTCGACGCCTGCGATGTCCACGCGCTCATTGCGTTTCTGTGCTCGGCGGACGCCACGTACCGTCTCTTTGGCGCCATCACGTTGGGGAACATTGCGTCCAAAGCCCAGCACCAAGAGACGATCGTGGACGCTGGCGCGCTCACGCCGCTCGTCGAGCTCTCGAGCGCCGTCGACTTGGAGACGCACCGCTGCATCGCGTTCGCGCTGTGCAACCTCGCGTCCGAGCCCAGTCGCCGGCCCATGATTGTCGACGCAAAAGGCATCCCGCCGATCATCGCGCTCGCGTGCTCCGAGGACCCTGAGGACAAGAAAACAGCCATCGCCGCGCTGCGGGGTCTCAGCAGCGCCCGCGAGAGCCGAGTGAAAATCGTGCGCGACGGAGGCCTCGAGCCTCTCGTGCTGGGCGCGACGTCGAGCGACCACTTTGTGCGCCGCGAGGTGGCGGTCGCTGCCTACAACTTGTCGCTCGACGAGTCCAACAAGGTGTCGATTGCAAATTCCGCGCTCCTGCCGCTGCTCATCCAGCTCGTGGGCTCGTCCGACACGGACTTGGACGCTACGGTACGTCCTACTCGTTGTTGGATGGTCGAGGCTGACGATCGCTCTGTAGACACATGCACCGTTTCACTTGATCGCTACCTATGCCTGCGCGACGCTGGCGACCTTGGCCGAAGACGTCTCGACGCACGACCGCATTTTGCGCGACCGCGGCGGCGCCTTCCTCGTCGACCTCAAAAGCGTCGACGATCCTTGTGTGCTCTCCGAGGCGCTCAAATGTGTGTGCAACTTGGCGTGCAACTACGCGACGCACACGCGCCTCTTGGAAGACCTCTGCCACGACCTCCTCCTGCACGCGCTGCGCCCCGGGTTTGACGAGACGATCCGCACCTTTGGCGCCATCGGCCTTGGCAACCTCCTCGCCAACCCCCTCACGCACGACATTGTCATGCGCAAAGACGTGGTGACACCCCTTTGTCGCCTCGTGGCCGACGCCGCCGCGCCCGAGCCGCAGCGCTACGCGGTGCTAGCACTCGGCAGCATCCTCGGCAACAGCAGCTACCATGACAAGTGCCTCGAGGCCGGCATCTTGGTGCCTCTCGTGCAGGCGCTGAGCCACCTGCGCGCGCTCGAGACGCGCTTCTACGCGACGTTTGCTCTCGGGAAGCTCGCGATGAACGCGACGCACCAGCGCCCTATCGCGCGAACCGACCCGGCAGTCGACGCCACCCTCGCGCTCGTGACGCAAGGCGAGAGCATCCACGCTCAGTGCCAAGCCGTGTCGGTGCTGCGACGCTTGGCCGTCGACGACGTCATTCGCGCCGAGTCCATGTCGATCGCGCGAACACCAAGCCTACTTCCCGCGCTGGTCGTCGCCGCCAGTGCCGCGTTTCACGCCGCCTACATTGAATTGGACCGCGAGCTCGCGGCGCTGGCGTGCAACTGGACGCTGAGCGACGCGCACAAGCTGCCGACAGCGACGTCGCCGCTGCTCTCGCACCTCTTTCGCCTCAGCGCCTCGAGCGACATTGAGGTCGCGCGAAACGCGTGCGGCGCCCTCGCCAACATGGCCGAAGAGACGGAAACGCACGTGAGCATGCTGGAGCTCCACGCGATGCCCAACTGCGTCCGGCTCCTCCGCAGTCGCTACGTGACCGTGTACCGCGAGGGCAGTCGGTTCGCCGCCAACTTGCTCTCTTCATCGGAGGTGCACGCGCTTTTTCTGCACGAAGAGGGGCTTCCGGGACTCATCCGCGTCGCCAAGGCCGACGACATCGAGTGCCAATACAACGTCGCGCTGAGTTTGCACAAACTGTCGATGCAAACGCAAAACCATGCGAGCATGCTCCAGACCATGTGCCTCCCGTGCCTCTTTCGGCTCCTCGGCGCGCCGGGACTGGCCGTGCAGCGCCAAGCCGCTGCGGCGCTCAAAGCGCTCTGCGCCAACGTCGAGAACAAGCCGTTCGTTGCCGACAACGGCGGTATCCCCGCCATCATTTCACTTCTGCGGGCGCAGGACGTCGAGCTGCAGACAATGGCTGCCGGTGCGCTCCGGCATCTCTCGCTGCATTTGCCAGTCAAGACGCAGTTTGTGGCCGAGAGCGGTCTCCCCCCGCTCTTTGAAGCGTGCAAGATCCCGAATGAAGACTTGCAGCTCCAGTGCGCCGGCGCGCTCGCGAATCTGAGCGAAAATGCCAGAAACCAGACGGTGCTGGTCGCGCAGGGCGGCTTGGACGCGCTCGTGGTACTGGCGAAAGCGACGCACGCCGGCATCATGCAGCACACGGCGCGCGCGTTCGCCAACGTCGCCTCCAACCCCGAGAACCAAGTTAACGTCTTCTCGACGGACGAGCTCAAGGCCATGTTCACGCTCGCGGCGTCGACCGAGGAGGCGTGTGGCACGGACGCCGCCCTCGCCCTCGGCAACATTGCGGTGACGGCCAAGAACCAGCTGCAGATTGCCCACCTGGGAGGGTTTGTGCCTTTGATTGCACTGCTCACGAGTCCGTTCCCGGCCTGTCGCGAGTACGCGGCGCGGTGCCTCTACCGCCTCAGCGCCCACAAAGAGAACCAGCACCACATTGTTGACGCCGGCGGCCTCGGGCCGCTCATCGCGCTCGTGTCGGATGCCGCGTTCGTCGAGTGCCAGCGCAACGCGGCCATGGCGCTGTGTAACCTCGCGAGCTGCCACGAGAACGAGCTCCCGATCGTCAAGGCGCACGGCCTCCCGCCGCTCATCAAGCTGCTCGAGTCGCCGAACGCCGAGTGCACGCGGTACGCCGCCATGACGCTCTGCAACCTCGCGGGCAACACGGCCAACCAAGTCCACATCGTCAAGGCGCACGGCCTCAAGCCACTGATTCGCGTCGCGTCAGACACCAACGCCGAGAGCGCACGCTACGCGTGCATGGCGATCGCGAATGTGTCGACGCACCGCCAGAACCGGCTCGTGGTCGTCGACGAAGGCGCGCTGCGGCCGCTCGTGTCGCTTGCGACCTCGGACGTGCTCGAGTGCCAGCGCAGCGCGACGCTCGCCATCTACAACGTGTCGTGCGCCGCCGTCAACCAAGTGCGCATCGTCGAACAGAACGTGCACGTGCACTTGATCAAACTCGCAACGTCCTCGGACACGGACTGCAAGCTGTACGCGATCATGGCGCTCTGCAACCTCACGGCCAACGCCGAGACGCGGATTCCTGCGTCGCGCGCCGGCGGGCTCCAGGCGCTCGTCCTCGGCGCCCGAGACATTGACGGCGCCATCAAGCGCTACGCGTGCATTGCGCTGTGCAACCTCGCGTGCGACCCGCAACTCCAGATCCAGACCGTCGTGCACGGCGGCTTGGCCGCGATTCTTCTGTTGTGCGACTCGGACGACGCCGACGACCAGCGGTACATCTTCTTTCGTTCGTCTTGGCTCATTAGTCGGATCTAGGTATGCGATCATGGCGCTGGCCAACTTGGCCGCGAGCGAGACCAACCACCCGACCATGATTGCGCGCGGCGTGCTCAAGGTCGTGCTGCGCTTGGCGACGGCGCCGCGCGACGACATTCGGCAGTACGCCGCCTTTGCGCTCGCCAACTTTGCCGGCAACGCCGAGCACTGCAACACGATCGGCGACGAGGGCGGCGTCGCGCCGTTGATTGCGCTCGCGCATTCCGAGGACCCGAACGCCCACACGCTCGCGATCGCGGCGCTTCGGCGACTCTGCCAAGTGTCGGCCATGAACCGCGGGCGTATCGTGCGCGGCGGTGGCCTCGTACCCCTCGCCATGGCCGGCCACTCGGAGGAGCTCGAGACGCAGCGAGAAGTGGCCGCGACGCTGTGTAATCTGAGCCTCAGCGACGAGTACAAGATGGAGATTGTGCTCAGCGGCGCGCTGCCGCCGCTCATCACGCTGGGGCAGTCGCCGGACGTCGAAGTCGCGCGCCAGGCATGCGGTGCGATCGCCAACCTTGCCGAGAAGATTGAGACGCACGCGACGTTTGCTGCCGCGCACGGCGGGCGGTTCCTCATCGGCCTCATGCGCCACAAGAGCATCGACATCCACCGCGAGGCCTCGCGCGCCATGGCCAACCTCCTCACCTCCTTTGGCCACCACGGCGACATGATCGCCGAGGGCCTCCCGGGCTTGATCCACCTCGCGCTCAGCGTCGACACCGAGTGCCAGTACAACGCAGCGCTGGCGTTGCGGAAGCTCGCGCCCAACACTGCGAGCCACCGAGGGATTGTGTGCGAAGGCGGGCTCAAGTCGCTTCTCTTCCTGCTCGAGTCCAAAGAAACCAACATTCGCAAGCACGCGGTCGTCGCCCTTCGGGACATTGCCTCCAACGCTACGTACCAAGTGCGCTTTTACGAAGAGGGCGGCGTGGGTGCGCTCGTCACGTTCGTGCGGGACGTCGAGCCCAACTTGCAGTGCCCGGCGCTCGCGGCGCTGCGCCACCTTTCCTGCGCCACCGAGCTCAAGAAGCCCATTGTTCAGGCAGGCATTTTGCGCCCGCTGCTCAAATGCATCAACCCAAGCGGTCACCACGTCGACTTGCTCTGCCAGTGCGCGGGCTTGCTCGCGAATCTCAGCGAGCACCTCGAGAACCAGCTCACGATGGTCGAGGAAGGCGCGACGACCGGTCTCGTCGCCCTCGGGCATATCGACCACGACGAGATCCAGCAAGACGTCGCGCGCGCGCTCGCCAACTTGTCGGCCAACGAAGACAACCACAGCACGATTTACAAGCAGGGCGGGCTCAAGTGCCTCATTGGGCTCACGAGAAGCAAGGAGGAGGTGTGCCAGCGCTACGCGGCCATGGGGCTCCGCTTCCTCGCGTCCAACCCGACGATCCGCGTGCACATTGTGCAAGAGAATTTGCTGCCGCCCTTCTTGGCCCTGGCGCAGTCGCCAGTCCTCGACTACCAGCGCACAGCCGCGTCGGCCTTTTGCTCGTTTTCGCTCAACGAAGAAAACAAGATGAAGCTCGTGCGCGACGGCGGCCTCACCCAGATCCTGAAATGCATGCGGTACGAAGACCTCGAAGTGACGCGCGACTGCACGTTCGCGCTCGCAAACCTCGCCGACTCGTGGGAGTACCAGATGGACATTGTGCGGGAAGGCGGCATCGCCACTCTCGTCCACGTCGGCGCCCACGACGACGCGCGCGTTCAGCGGGACACGGCGCGGGCCCTCGCGTCGCTCTCGGTCACCGCAGCGCTCAAGCCCGAGCTCATGACGGCGCTGCCGACGCTTTTCAAGCTCGCGCGGTCCTTGGACGTGAGCAGTCAGCGCTACTCGACGCTCGCGATTTGCAACCTTGCGTCCGGCCCCGACAAGGTCGCGATCGTCGAAGCCGGCGCGGTGCGACCACTCTTGCACCTCGTGCGCTTTCCGGACCACGAGATCCAGCGGTACGCGGCACTCGCGCTCGCCGGCCTCGCCCTCGGGGACCACGGCCACAACAAGCTGCGCATGGTGCAGGACGGCGCAGTCCGGCCGCTCGTCGAGATGCTGCGGTACCCGAGCGTCGAGATACAAAAGTGCGGCTGCTTGGCGCTGAACGCACTCACGCTCGGAAAGCACGCGGCGACGAAGCTCGCCGTGCTCCAAGAAGACGGGCTTCTGCCGCTATTGGCGCTCTTGAGTGCGTCCGACATGGAGTGCGTGCGCATCGCGCTCTACTGCGTCGGGTCCATCGCAGAGCATATCGATGTGCTCACGAAACTGCTCGAGCTCGGCGCATTGGCGCACATTGTGCACCAGAGCCGCCAGCCGGACCTCGAGGTGAAGCGCAACTGCGGGTACATTTTGGCGCTCGCGGTCGAGCACCACGAGTTCCACGACGACTTTGTGCGCGAGGGCGGCATGCAGATCGTGGTGCACCTCGCGTCAATCGAGGACATCGAGTGTCAAGAGTACGCGACGTTTGCGCTCGCCCACCTCGCCTCCAACCGCGAGTACCAGGTGAAGCTTGTGGGCATGGGCGCGCTGCGGCCGCTGATCGCGATCATGTCGGTCAACGCCGAGCCGCGCCATTACGCGGGCCTCGCCTTGCTCAAGCTCGCCGACAACTACGAAAACCACATCAAGATCGCCGAAGAAGGCGGGATCCAAGCGCTCTTGCGCATCGCGCGCGCCCGCTCGACCGACGAAGAGCTGCAGTACAAGGCGTCCATGAGCCTCGGCCAGCTGGCGGCCAACGCGACCAAGGTCATGCCCAAAGGACGGCACAGCAACGATGGCGTTGGCGCAGGCGCGTCGCGCATGGCAGCCACGACCGAGCAGCTGCAAGCTCGCAAAGCGCGCGAAACCACCACCGAGTACATTGAAAAAAAGATTCGCTCCCAGACCCAAGGAGATACCAACGAATGAGCATTGATATCCTACGAATATATGTACGATTTGTGTCCTATGAGCCAATGCAAAGAGCGCTCCAAGCGTGCGTTGGACAGTGCCTCCACCATGCGTGCTGACTGCAGCTATTTATTAGGCGGCGACCGTCGCGTACAACAGGTGACGCGCGCCGTCGCAAGGACAGTGTGGGTGTCTTTGTCTCGGCCACGCATGCGCTGCTAAAGGTTGTCGTTTCCACGAGCTTTCCAATACGCGGTTCGAGCGTAGAGCTGCCGTATTCGCTTAATACGACTGAGCACTTTTCAAAGCACCTCGCCTCACATTGCTGCACGCACAACCGCGCCTATAGTTGAAGGCACGGGCAATGCCTGGTATCGAGGAGCTCTTTCCCTGCGCGCTCGCGACAGTGGCAATTTGACAAAGAGAGCCATTTCCACATGAGCCCGCGGCCCGAGGCCTGCGCACGGCTTGCCACGTACGTGCTGGCGGCGCACGATGGCCCACAAAAACTTAAAATGGGGCAAGAACACTGGTGATTGGCTAGGATATAGTGTGTAATTTTAGCGGGTATTTTTCAAGAAAATACTATAGTAGCTTTTTTATCTGGTACTAGTATGGTGCTGTATTTTTCTACACTGAAATACTGTACGGCGCATCAGGCCTCATTATGCTGCTCATTACGGGGCATATCGCAGGCGCGATGCCTGCCTCGGTCACATGCAACACGCTCTCCAGCATCAACAAAACAAGATGGCGTCCTCAGCTTCCGCGATTTCAACCTATTTTCAATCGAAATATCGTGCCGCATTTTGGGAAAACGGACGCTCGGCAGTTTGAGTTTGGTGTGAGCGCCCAAGCAACAACGCGGCCCAGTAAACTGGTCGCACATCGGGTCAAGATCATAGCCAACTGTGGCAGTCGGAATCGGGGCTCTTGGAGCTTTCAAACCCTGCGATGTCATGTTGAGTAATTGAGCAATTGTGCCACCACCTCGAAAAATGAAAAATGGATTTACACGTGATGACGCCACGTTCAGCGTCGGAAACGACATGTACACCGTTCAGTGAGTGTGTAGAGAGGCCTACATATCTGCTACGCGGGGTTGGCGAGTCTGTGGGTTGCGATTCGTCATTGTGGGAACGCACACTATATAAGACGTAGTCTTGTGATTGGCTATAAAGAATTTAAAATTGAGCCAATAGAAACCATGTCAGTCGAGCTTCAAATCGACTTGGACACAGCCCGCAATGCTACCGGGTAGCACGACATTCGGAAGATTGCTTCAGTGACAATGAGCAATGGTCACAACTGTGAAGTATGGACCCGCTCATTGCCGAGCTCACGGACAAGGCTTGCGTCGACGACGGGCGGCGTCCAGGAGGCCAGCCTTGGCGCGTTGGTTACGCTTCTCACCCGCGTCGGCGCCAAGGTCTCGGCGTTGACAGTGCGCGCAGTGGAAGACGCCCTTCGCGCCTCCTCATCACGGACGACGACCTCCGGCGTATGCGCGCGGGCAACGGCCTCGCCCCCGTGCACTCGCTCTGCAGCGCATAGCATGGTGTCAGGATGGTCCAGGAGCTCGTGCAGCCGTCGACGGAGCTCTGGACGCTTCGCAACTCGGTAGCGCTGGTAGCATCGGGCTTGCTCCGCCTCTCGCCGGTGCCGACGTGGGTTGCCACCACGCTTGCGGCGCCTGTCGTCCCGACGCTCGTGGTGCTCGCTTGCGATGAGAACTCGCTCGTC